TCCACCAGTGTATGAATGTGAGAGTGAATGAATAGTGGTATTGTAAAGCGCTTTGGGTGCCTTGAAAAGCGCTATATAAATCCAATCCATTATTATGTTTTGGTTTATTTTTGAATGATTGTTTTGTTCTCTGAGGCTACGATGATTGTTATTGTTAGAGTTCCATGTTTCTGTTTATTTGTGTTTCAGGATTTGTGTCTCATGTTTAGCATTTAGGTTCCATGTGTTATATTCAGTCTGTCTCTCAGTGTGAAGTCGGCGTCTTTGTGTAGTGAGGTCTTGTTTCCTGTTTTATTGTGAAGGTCTGCGTCTCTTGTGAATGTGTTTAGTTTTACCTCTTGTCTCATCCCGTTAATTACTCCACCACCTGTGTGTAATCTCCCTGTGTTTCTCTGTGTGTATTTAAGTCGCGTCCTCTGTTATTGTAGTTGCTGGTCCGTCTGTGTATCCACCGTGCTCCTTCTGTGTGTTATCCCTGCTGTCATCCGTCGTCATTCTCCGTTGTGTATCCTCCTTCATGTTCATGTCCTGGTTTGTGTTCACTAGTTTAGTTGTTTTCAGTTTAGATAGCCTTCTGTTCCTTTTGCTGTTTGCCTATTTTTATTTTGTGTTTAATAAACCACCCTCACACCTTTACAAGTGCCTGCATTTGGATCCTCCTTTTCTTTCTTCCACACGGCTCACTCAACTTGCCGTGACAAATCTAATCTTTTTCAGTTTAAAGTTGATAGATACATTATCCATCAATAAAGGTATTTGTATTATATTAGTAGCAGTAACTTATTCAATATCCAACCTGCAATGAATAATGACACACACACACACACACACACACACACACACACACACACACACACACACACACACACGTGGAACTACTTCCACTTATTCCATTTTATTTTTACAGATAACGTGGAACCTCAGCTACTTCTATGTAAATAATTCAAAACATTTCATCTTGAAAACTAATGAAATCAAGGAGCTGCCGAGGGACATTCTGTGGGAGTCTATGAAGGTTTACATTAGGAGCAAATTATCAGTTATGTAGCATATAAGAATAAAGTACACTCTGAGGATGTTAAAACGCTGGTGAGGAACATGGGAGATGTCCATAGGTGACATGAGGTTCACCCACACCAGATCTGTTCAACGAAAAATTATTACTACAAATGGAACGAAATATTCTTATGATGGAGAAGGTGAAAAAAATATATACTAAAATCCAGACAGATTTATTGTGAACATGGAGATAAAGCAGGTAGGCTTCTTGTTCTTCGGTTTTAAAAAAAAAGTCAGCCGGGCAAATGATTACAGGAAGTGAAATGGATCCTGGCTTAATATCATACAACTATCACGACATTAATGATTGGTTTAAACAATATTATTCTAACCTATACCAATCAGATGTAGAGGGTAATGCATCAGAAACAGACCTATTTCTCAACTCTCTGGATATTCAAAAATCTCTCTAGAGGCTCAGTCATCCTTAAAGCAGCCACTGTCACTTGAGGAAATAAGTAATCCTATTAAGCTATCTCGAACAGGCAGTGCACCAGGCACATAATGATTTCCCATCGAGTTTTACAGGGAATACCCTTAAAGCTCGCACCTGTTTTGAAATCAGTTTACACTGTAAAAACAATTGTAATATAAAAGTATTTTACTGTGTATTTTACAGTTCTGTACTGTTCTTCTGGAATATCATTAAATTTACATAAATAGACTGTGAACATAATTTTCTTGTTTTTAAAATGTATTTGTCTGTACATATGCATATTTAGTTTGTTAAAATACATTCACAAATGTATCATAATTTCATTATTCCATTATTTGAAAGATTGAACTGTTAAATTCAAATGTAATGCTATGGAGAAAAATATATAAAATGATTCTTATAAACTTTTTTTTACATCAAATAATTATTATTATTCTTGTTATTTAGGGTGATTGTGGCTCAAGAGTTGGCAGTTTGCCTTGTAATCAGAAGGTTGCCAGTTCAAGCCCCGGCTCGGACACTCGCGGTCGTTGTCTCCTTGGGCAAGACACTTCACCTACCACCTACTGGTGATGGTCAGAGGGGAATTATAAAGTGGAATTGTAAAGCGCTTTGAGGGTCTCAAAAAGCGCTATATGAATGCAATCCATTATTATTTAAACCAACTGTTAACTGTATATTTCTGTACATTTAAGTATTATTATTCATATTGCCGCATTCATTGACCTTGTCTATAGGTAAGTTCATTGTTTAATCACATTAAAATGTTCCTAATTTAATGTTTAAAAGCACTTGAAAAGGGGCAAAATCGCATGTAAAATTAGGGCAACAAACTGTATTGTAATTATTGGAAATAACCGTATTTTCATGAAAAAGTTATTTTCTGTTATTTTCTGGTATTATTTTAGCGCCCCACTTCCCAGAAATTACTGGGTTTTTTTAGGATTTTTTTTTTTACGGTGTATAATGAATCCCTGGAAAACGGAAAGTAGTCAAAAACACTTATTCAGGCCATAATCTCAGTCATACTTAAAAAAGATAAGGACCCTGTTCAGTGTAGTTCAGTTCCTCCCCTCACTCAGCAACACAGTCTGAAGTTGTTCTAAGTGTTGATGCTGAAAAGGCATTCACAAAATAGAATGGACTTACGTATTTATACTTCTAAAACATTTTAGATTGGGGCCAAAATTTGATAGCTGGATTACAGTTTTATACTCAGTACCTATGGCTGCATCAGTACAATGCAAGGCTGTTGCCGTGCTCCTTATCTGTTTGTAATCAAGCCATTGGCAATCGCTATTAGATCAGACAGTAGGATTAAGACTACTGTCCAGGGTCAAGGTAAACCACAAAATTCTGCTTTATACAGATGATCTACTTCTGCTAATATTAGATCCAATTAGTGGCATGTCCTACTTCTTTATCTGTTTCAAAACAAATAATTTAGCAAGGTAAATCAACTATAGAAATTTGCCCTTTAAAATTGAAAAAGGATAAATTTACCTCCCAGGGATTAGAAATAACTGGTTCAATCATCTCTATGCATCCATACAATTACAAGTCTATTGTAGGAGTAAGGCTGGGCCATATCATACAGTTCACGGCAATACCGGTATAATGTTAGGCAATGATAAGAAAATGAAATATCGCAATAGAATATGTAAAAGACTAGGTAAAAGACTTTGTTTTCATACGCACATGGCGGAAAAAGCATGGCGGCGACAGAGAATGAGAAGGGGGAAAGCAGATTGTTGAATGAAACAGATGAACCAGAATTGGTTTGTAAAAATGGTGCAACTTCAGTGGTATGGAACTGGTTTGGCTTTCATCCGTCAGATACACATCAAAGCACATTTTTTGGTAGAGCATGCAAGCTGGCCGTTGTTATTAGCGCTATTACAGAACCGATTTTATCTGGTACACGGCACTCAAAAATCTGTCAAAAAATGTTTTCGTACGACCCTGCTAAGCTACAAAGCCGCACCGCTTGATGAATTGTCAAAGCATTACGTCTACCGTAGTTGGGAGCTTCGCGGAGTAATACGTATTGTGCTTCAACATAATATTACAGCTTTGTGTGTGTATAACCTCTTGTAAGTATTGTTGATATTATACATGGTTATGCTCAGGATATGTCAGCCCATTTCCACTGGAAATGCCTTTTGGTTAAACTGTCAGCAAGGAATTTGCATTTTCACTGTTACATTTTTATATAGCTTTAAGGCACATAAAAAACAGCTGCTTCTTTAAATGAAAATACATTGATGAAGTTTTTTTGCACTAATAAAGTTGTGGAGTTGTAAAGTATATTGTCTCGCGTCAATTATATAGTCAGTTATATCATTATCGCAAATTATCAAATATATATCGTGATAAATATTTTTGGGCATATTGTCCTGCCCTACTTAGGAGGAACCAAAAATGACCTGGATAGGTGGTCAAAATTGCTATTGTCCTTAGCAGGATGGATAAACACAGTAAAAATGACTATAATGCCCAGGTTTCTGTATTTATTTAAAATGATTCCTATTTTTCTTCCAGTTAGATTGCAATATTTCTTTTATTTACATGGAATAAAAAACCTGCACGAATAAAGAAGTCATGTTTGGAGAGGATTAGGTTTGCCTAATTGTGTATTCTATTGTTGGGCAGTTTATATTTTTAAGTTAACATAATGGATTACCAGGTTTGCAGATAAAGAGGGACCTGTCTGGGTAAATATGGAACCAAAAACAACAGTTCACCTATTTCAATTTTGACTGCCCCTCTTCAGCTAAATATTGGTGTGCCTGGTGGTCCAAAATTTTATAAAGATTTGGCGCCAATTTGGAAAGTACTTTAATTTGGATATTTAATTTCTCTCCAGTAACATCTAATCATCTTTTTGTGCCATCCCAGACATTTATGGATTGGAATAAAAAAGGACTGATTTATTTTAGCGATCTCTTTAATAAAGATGGTTTTGTCATTTAAATTCCTTTGTGAAAAACATGATCTACCAAAGTCACATTACTTTAGATATATTCATGTTTTACTTCTAAATAAACTGGTGACTCTCAAAGTGGAGCCAATCAGAACCCAATGAGAATCGACAAGAAAATTGATACGGAATCAGTCAGTACATGATATCGATAATGGAATCGGAATCACTAAATTCTTATCAATTTCTATACCTATATATCATACTGCATGTGATGCTTTTTTAGTGTTTGCCAAACAAAACATAGCTCACTGTGTTTTATCGTGTAAGAATTATGTGAAATATAATTATAGCCCCAGATTGCATGGGAACATTTTTTCTCAAGTAACACTTATTGTGGGCTTTTTTTTTAGTGCTGTGTAGTAATCAGTGAATGCCTATTCTGACGCTGATATAATACCCTGTATTGTATACACATGTACATATGTTTTTTAACACAATAAAATTATGATACTGCTGCCCTGAGGTAAACCAACAAAATATATGGCCAAAGATCTTTTTTTATGTCCCCACAACTGGACTCACATTGTAGAGGATATCCACCCATCCCTCCATTGTAATACACTGGAAAACGGTGAGAACAGCGAAGAGGATGTTGTCAAAATTGGTAATGCCAAAATTGGGTCCAATCCAATACTCCCTACAGACAGTGCCGTTGGCACAGGTCCTTGCTGGAGCTTCATAGCCACAGGGGAAATCTGCAGTCTGCTCACCTGTAACCACAAAGACACACATTGACAGACTAAGGTATTTTTTTAGAAATTGTCACAGTGCGCTGTGTGGCATGCAGGATGTGGACCCAAATGCAGACTCCAAGACGTGGAAAGTAACTCCAAAACTGCTTTATTGCTGACACAAGGAAAAGAATATACTGGGACATGAATAACTCTAAACGAAGAGGCACACAGGGGACCACACAGCTGGGTATGAGGGAGATTGCGAGGCTGGGGAGAAGAAAACAAAAGGTTTAAATATAGGGGGTGGGTTTCAATAATCAATTTATTGATTAAAATCGATTTTAGCTTTAATAAAGCAATATCGATTCATTAAAATCCTGAATCAATTTTGAAATATAAATGTGTTTTACCAGAAACGCCAGAATCTCAGGCTAAACCTCACAAAACAATTTCAACAACCACCAAACAGCTAAAACAGCAAACGAGAGCAGGTAAACGGATTCCGCAAAAAGACATAAACACAAAGCACGGACAAACACATCAGAATCAGTGAGATGTTGGCTTTCTCACCCGGCAGCACGTACACAGACATGAGGTCGGGGTTGAAAGCCGACAGCTCACAGATTCTGATGGACAATGTGATTATTTGGATTTTATTCTTTAAATTTATGTAAGAGAAAGTCTGACTGATGATATAAAAGAATATCACACACATCATAGGGAACATATTTTACAATTAATTGTTCGTTCTCCTGTTGGAGCTTGCTTCACTGCATAATTTCTATTACAATCATATTTTTGTTTATATGGGGGGAATTCAAAATGTGTCACTCAACCCCTTATCTTCATTAAAAAACACATAGGAATGGTTAAGGTTCTATAACATTTGCTCACTTGTGTTAATCCGGAAACAGGTGCGATGAAATTTCCCCATGTAGAAGTCAAGGCCGATGATGGCAAACATGAGGATGGCAAAGAAGAGCAGCAGGCCAATCTGCAACAGTGGTACCATAGCTTTCATGATGGACTTTAAAACCACCTGAAGACCTGAGGCAAAGCAAGAGAAGTAAGATTAGCCATAGCCATGATTGATTGCATATGTAATGTAACATACAAGCATACCATAATGCTATCAAAATATATTTGCAGTAATTCTGTGTATGTTCTCAGTCATTCAGTCATGATAATCTAAGGAGCATGGAAAGAAAAGTGACTGGACTTCTTTAAGTTTCTTGAAGACGTTTCACCTCTCACCCGATAAGCTTCTTCAGTTCTAAGACCAAATGATGAAGAGTCGCAGGTATTCAAGCCCTAGTGGAAGTTGTCCCTTAAGAGGGTCGTGGACCCACTGTTGATCACGTGATTGCTATTGAAAAGTCTTTGAGAAACATAAAGAACTCCAGTCATTTTTCTTTCCAAGCTCCTTAGATATTTACAAGATCCTTTGAATTTTTCTTTTACAACCAAGTCTCCTTGTCATTTTGCCTCTGTCCAAAAGATGCAGAGGAACTGTAGTGCTAAGGAAAAATATTTACTTGTTAATCTAAGGAAGACGTTTCACCTGTCATCCGAGAAGATTCATAAGTTCTAGGGTCAAATGGTGGAGAGTCCCAGATTTAAAACCTATGGGAGTATTCCCCCAAGAGGGAAAGTGGACCCCCTCCTATTTTTACGCCAGATGTTTTTCTTGAGTGCGGCTCTTGGCACTAAAAGTGCACTCCTATAAACTGTATGGATGTACTTCAATATACTGTATAGAAATGCTCATATACACTGTAGCACAGTACTCCTATACACTGTATAGTACACTGGCTTAAGGTATACACCACTAAAATTAAAAAGCTGTGAAATTTTGCAATTTATCTTCAGAACAGATGTTTTTGCAGTATAGTAGTTGTTTGTTTGTTAACCTATTATAATGCTGTAACATGCTAACCACATCATGACCATTAGCACAGACAGCACATGTATTAAAATGTGAAGTGGACTTACTTGGAATCCCGGAGACAAGTTTGAGTGGTCGCAGCACTCTCACCGCCCTCAATGTTCTCAGATCAAAGTCAGCCCCCACAGTGGCCAGGATCCTACACACAATAACAGCATGGATTCAACAATAACATTAAGCTGTATAGTTTATAGCCTTGTTTTGGTATGGTACCATCACAAAAAAAGCTGGTATAATTTAGCAGTGGGATGTTCTTTAAACTCACTGACCAAAACCCATGTTATCTAGTTATTTAACTGGAAATTTATGAAAAGTGCATATGTTCCCTTCTTCCAATTCACAATTATGGCTTGTATTGTGCTTCTGGGGCACACAAAGCTTTAGAAAAGGTGTCATACCCTTGTACTGATTTATGTCGCAATACAGTGTGATCACAGACATCTACAGACTTCTTTTAACCTGACATGAAGTGTGAACTGTGGGATCTTGAAATACAATGAATTAAACTGTGTCCAGTTACTTCAGTGAATCGCTACCTTATCGTGGTGGAGGGGTTTGCGTGTCCCAGGGATCCCAGGGGCTATGTTGTCTGGGGGCTTTTGCCCCCTGGTAGGGTCTCCCATAGCAAATTGGTCCTGGGTGAGGGACCAGACAAAGAGCAATTCAGAAGATCCTTATGAGAAAAACATGGAGGGAACAGTTTACCCTGCCTGGGGAGGGTGCCCGAGGGCGAGCGTCTAGTGGCTGGGCCTTAGTCCATGGGGCACAGCCCGAAAAGGGGACATGGGCCCATCCTCCCGCAGGAGCGGAGGCCCTGGCGGACTGATCCCCGGCTACCAAGACTGGTAATTGGGACATGGAATGTCCCAATTGCCAGGACTCTGTCTCTGTCTGACTCTGGACTCTGTCTCAGTCTGGAGTTGCCCCTGGTGAGAGGCGGCGGGCTGGGGTGGGTATTCTAATATTCCCTCGGCTTGCTGCCGGTACGTTGGGGTTCTTCCCGGTGGATGCGCCTTAGGGTCGGGGAACGAGTCCTGACTGTCATCTGCACTTATGCGCCAAGTGGCAGTTCAGAGTACCCAGCCTTCTTAGAGTCCTTAAGTGGGGTGCTGGAAGGTCCTCCACCTGGAGACTCTGTTGTCCTACTGGGAGACTTCAATGCTCACGTGGGTAACGACAGCAAGACCTGGAGGGGCGTGAGTGGGAGGAACGGCCTCCCTGATCTGAACCCGAGCAGTGTTTTGTTATTGGACTTCTGTGCAAATCACAGTTTGGCCATAACGAACACCTTGTTCGAACATAAGAGTGTCCATAAGTGCACGTGGCACCAGGACGCTCTAGGTCGCAGGTCGATGATCGATTTTGTAATTGTATCACCAGACCTGCGACCAGAAGTTCTGGACACTCAGACAAAGAGAAGGGCTGAGCTGTCAACTGATCACCACCTGGTGGTGAATTGGATCAGGTGGCGGGGTAGGACACCTGACAGACCCGGTGCACCTAAACGCGTAGTGAGGGTGTGCAGGGAATGCCAATTTCCGGGGGGCGAGGTCACTGAGGCAGTTAAACAACTCCTTGGTGGCAGAGCCCCTGGTGTGGATGAGGTCCGCCCCGAGTTCCTGAAGGCTCTGGACGTTGTAGGGCTGTCCTGGTTGACACGCCTCTACAATGTTGCGTGGAGATCAGTGGAAGTATCCCTGGACTGGCAGACCGGGGTGGTGGTCCCCAGCTTTAAGAAGGGGGACCGGAGGGTGTGTTCCAACTACAGGGGGATCACACGCCTCAGCCTCCCTGGGAAAGTCTATGCCAGGGTGCTGGAAAGGAGAGTTCGTCCGCTAGTAGAACCTCAGATACAGGAGGAACAAT